TCGTCAGCGGTAAAAACCGTAAATGCCGTACTCTAACATCTAACTTAACTCACCTCTTATCTGACGTCGTGCGGAGACGACGTTGGAGTCGTGGGAAGGGGAGGCAAGTGACAAGATATGTGTGGCAGCAGGCGGGAACGTTATCGATATCCAAATGACGGATGCTTGTGGCATTCCACTCCAAATATAGACATAATTTTAGGTAAGCCAATCTAGGTTATGGATCTTTTCGAGTTTCGCGAAACTCGCTGAAAGTGAATCCACCATGCCAAATACAATAACCACGCGTCAAGTTGTGATACCAAACCCTCTGCGGTCAGATTTGGACCTAGACTTGATTCACACTCTTTCACTGACTACAGTTTCAAGTCTCCATAGCAGTGCAGAAAGTAACATAACTTGGAAGCCCGGCACAGGTAGAATCCATGTCATGTCCTAGAACTTGGAAATACTAGCATCAACCGCCATTCATTTCGTATATCTGTTGAAAGTGCGAGGATAAGCGACATTTATGTGTCCTGACCTTTGACCCCATTAAGTCAAATAGTCTTTAACGGCTTTTATTCTGCATAAGATTATGCAGGCATGGCAGAATTTTACAATTTCAGCACCACTTGGTATGTATTTCACGTCAAATAGTGCGCCAGATTTTGTGGTGTTGTGTTGATGTGGCAGTCCATGGGAGTCAAACGCTTAATGTTATTTGTCGATAGCCAACTATTCCCGCGACTGTGCATTTTTGTCAATATTATGCCGTACACTCAGTCTCAAACTCCAAGACTGAATGATACACTTGACTTCGGTCTCAAACTGGAATTAAAGACATAATATGAGCTGCAAAATCCACCATCCCTGACAAACATACCTTCCTTAGTGAGTTTTGAAGTTAACTAGTAAATCTTAAAACCAGTATTTGAGAACATAATTTAAAAACTGAGTCGCTATATCGAAGGTAAACTAAGGAGGGTATGTCTGCCCAAAACATAGCAAACGTTATGGCTAGTTTATTGCATTTACTTTGAATTTGAGGCTGAACTCAAGCGTGCATTGTATAATGTTCATTTGAAGTTTTAACATTTTTCCTAGTTCCATTTTTTGTTTGTCACATTACACGTCTCGTTTCATTTGTAACACGACGGTAAAGAGGTTTGTTTTGTTTGCTAACAAAGTCTTGTTGGGCATGACATGATGTAGTGTATATTCCCATTTTAAACTCATGGATGTCGTCCACTAGGCACAAACAGGTTTGGTCCGGGGTCCCTTGGCAACATCTTCAGGGAACATCAATTCCATGTCTTCTAACTTACAAGCGAAAAGATGGCTGTCGTAAACAGCCAGACTGTACCGTAAAATAGTTACGTAGGCTATTTTCGAAAAGAAAAGTTGTGGGCATCCTGTAGGTTGTGTGACGCATGGTCGCGCTGCTCAACACGGTCGCGGTCATGCAAAGGCATTCATTGTTTTAAAAGCACTTAAGATTTGAAAAATATTGTGACGCGGTGAGTAATCAATTCACTGCAAGGGGTGAGGTGACGCGCCATCTCGTGTTAGCATTACGCTCCAATGAGCAGCCCCGTCTGGTCATGGTCAGTTGGAACTAGGAGACCACTCCACCCAGTCACCAGAAGAAATATCGTTTAGTCCAAAGACAGCCTGGAAGACGTCAGTAATGGGTTCTGAATTGGCACCTTATTTGGCACTCATAGCGGTGGCAGCCATCTGTCTGCTACGGCAACTACGTTAATTCATTTCCCCATATCTTTTCAGTCCATCATCATTCCTTTTCCATTCATTTGTCATTTATGGCTTGTTTTTGTCACCCATTCTTGTTATCAGAGAGGCGTCCCACCACAGCTGGATTGTCGGAGTTAGCATCTCGACTTCAGTAGGTAACAGTTGGTGTGCTCTACCTTGGCGGCCGGCACAGGTCACCGGGGTCACGCGATGTTCGGTCGAATTTGCCTAGTGTCGAGGACATGCCATTTCGAACCCAGGCCGTGTGAACCACACTTAAGTAAAGAGCAGGCTCATGTCGTGTGTGTTCATATAACATGTATGTATAAACGGGTGCCTGTCCACCAATGCGACTTATCGCTTTTCCCAGCTTCCGAGCTGTTAACATTTAAAAAAGGTAAACTGATGCACTCAAAACTTGGTAGCATCCTAGCCTATAAGCGCATGCCATACATCTCTGAACGGCGCCTTCGTCATAGACTATTGATTTGATTATATCGTTGGGGTAAGACGATCACCCATCACTCAGCGGCCGACAGTCGCATGCATGAAAAAGGTAAATTTTAGAACCCACGAAATTGCAAGGGTTTTAACAGAATTGGCTCAAACTCTCTCTCTCCCTTGATAAAGTTCCCTTAATGGCAAATATTAAATATGCGTGCAAATACGACGGTTTTGATTGCGAAGCATCGAATGTATTCAAAATTTAGTGCGTTCGGCGGCAAGTTCATTCACCCATCCCTGTGACAAATGCGGCACGTGTCGGACGCGACTAGACCCGGCTGCGGTTGGCTTAATCTGACAGGCCGCTCAAACGACGTCTGCGAAAAGCGTTTAAGACATTGTAGAACACGTGCCGTAAAGAAGTCAGAACGGTGTAGTTGTGCGTGTCATTAGCCCAGTTAATCTTCCATGTCATTAGCGGCAGTTTTCCGATTCACCCGCCTCTGGCGGGGTGGGTTCGAGTCGCTTCAGGTGCGCGCTATACGTTCATGACCGGAATGGCCTGTAGCCGGTGACAGCAGCGAACTAAAGATCAGGTAGCGGTAGCGATCAGGCCGGACCATACCGAACATTGTGGCACTTGAAACTTCCGCCGCAAAGTTTTGCCCGTGATCTGGAATTTCCCCGATTGGAAGGTAGGGCGAGCACACGCAACAAGTACTGCCTGGGCGAGCGCTGCTCGCAGAATTGAATTCAATAAAAAAAGTTCGGGCCAGTTGCTATCAGCAGCCTGGGCCACCGCCCCTGACACCCCAGTCCGCTAGTGGCTACTAATTGGGAGGTCATCATCTACCGTTGAGTGCTCTGCATGTACCAAACGTAACCGCAACCGGAGTTCTAGCGGAGAACCTTGAACAGCCTTGAACGATTGGACATGAAATCATCCGAACAGAATGGGACCCAGCCCAGATCATTTCAAGCTAACCTAGGCTAACCAAACCAAGCCCTGGCCCCACCCAGCCCAACTACATGTCCCGATATTCTCTAAGTCAAAACCCACATCGCAACTTTTAGGGCACATGCCGATAGGCCTATTTGCTGTAACACGTTGAAGAAAGATCAGCCACGCAATTACACCTCGTGTGTGCACTGCGACCACCAAGGTAGGTCAATGACTTTTAAATAGGATAGGAAGGGAACTGAGCGTATTCAAGTTACTTTTAGTCCTAATCATCTTTCATCTGTTTCTTCTTGCTCTTATTTTCATTTGTGTCCGAATCCAGCTTAGGGCTCCAGATTTTAATCACTTCAAACGTTTAAAACTGCTGGACCAGAGCCAGAATTCAAGAAGTTCCTTAAAATTGCTGGACCAGCCCGAGCCCAAGTCCCAATCGTCCCCAACATGAGTCCGAGCTCAGCCCCGAGTCCAGCTGGCTCATCCCCGCCGGGAAGCAAGGCCCAACCTCAAGTCTCTTGCAAATTCCAACATGCAGTCACACTCACTTTGAGAGGGCTTCTCTACGAGCAGTCTTGTCACAGTTCTTCGATGATAAAGGAAATTAAGCAAGACGGACACATTACATGTATTATAGTGCTTGCAACTTCCATACAACGGAAATTTTGGTATCATCGCAAAACCGCTTGGGAGCATACTCTCCATTTATCATGTTTTTAGTCGAGGAAGATTGAACACGTAATTAATCGATGCGCCTGTGAAAATGCTGGCTTGTAGTCCCGTGGACCACTGAAAACACAGGAGCTTGTGGCATATTAGGTCAATTTTGCGCGCTTTGACGGTTCACGCCATATATCGCCGGGTCACCAGTCCATTCGGACCACACTGAAATAAACACAACCGGGCTGCTTGCTCACTGGCAGCACTTGATGGAACGGCATTAACTGGTACCACGATGTTCCGGGCTTTTATTGACAATCCATGCCACGTAGCTTAGCCCAATATTCATACCATAAGTTGTGAGACAATATGCGTTGTCTTTTATTCCGTTTCACATTTATCTCTGTTGCAACCACGGAAGCAGCGACCCAATGACCGGCCGGCAAAGGAAGGGCATCGGCGAGGGTTATGGGAAATATAAATAGTGCTATGGCCCAAAAGATGGCAGCACCTATCCCAGGCTTGCTCCAAAACCGCTGTAAAAATTCAACCGTTCACCTGATCAGCACCGCCATAAGCCGTGTTGGAGACACCATTTAGAAGTCAGGAAGCAATAGCACAGCCCAGAAATTTAAGATGGATTGATTCAACCCTAGCAATACTATGCGAGGATCATTCGTGTCATTCGCCCAGGATAGCACCAGCACTGGTCTGTCCAGCCCTTTGCTTGCATTTCAATTGTGAAACACGGACGCCAGCGGATTTGGCCATGGGGAGTAAATCTACCCATACATGTTCCGATCGGAGCGGTCTCCATCACCTGACTGGGAATCAACAGGCGTCGTCTGACCAACGCCCATGGAGTGGAACCTGACGATCGCCGGACACACGATAGGCCGGGCGCAAACACGCCAATCCGTAAAAAAACGACCCACCTACGACCAACTGCAACGACTCTTTGGTAAATATAACACCGCAGCCAACTGGTCTCACACTTCAAAGCATAAGCCACACTCACACAACAGAGATTACGTACCGAGCAAAGCAGAACTGAGCCACTGGGCGTCATCACAATCATGATCGTCATCCATGGCAACACGAAGTAAACTACGTGACGACACCGCAACAAAGAGGGGGAAAAACGCACAGCACGTTCCGCTACATAAACGGCCTAGACTACGGTGCTAAAACCCGCTTGAGGCCACCATCCAGAACTCGACTGCTCGGCGCGGCGCCAGTGTGGGTGAAACGCCATGAAGTGCCAACTGTCCACTCACCGACGTTCAAACGCAACTCAGGGCAACCGCCTCCCTCCTCTTACACAGCTCAATCGCAGCTCACCACCAGCGATGCGCGCCACGAGGCGTTCAGACTCCGCTCTCTTACCCCCGGGCCAAGACACCCCACCCCAAGTGCCACGAGGCGTCCAGACTGTGTTCTCCTAGCCACCGGGCTACGACACCACACCACACAACACCTCCCCATTTTACAGCAGCGCCCGCGCCTCCCGCCCGGCACGAGGGCCGCCCCGGGTCACACGCCCTCCTACACCACGACCGAGGCGGATTGCGTGCTCAGCGCCGCGACCCGCGCCACTCCAGTCCTGCCTCCTCCGCCGGCGGGGCGGCTCATGCCTGCTCCTCCACCACCACCGAGAGCGGGTCCGGGTCATCGGCGGATGAGCGCCGGCGAGGGGGCGTCGCCCGAGCCGGGCGACTCGTCGGCCTCCCACCACCAGCGCCTCGGCGCAGCCCAGCAAGTGCAGGTCGGCAGTCTCGCCCGACTCCTGCTGGCGCGGGGGAGCGGGTCACACACGGCCGCAGCGGGCGGGCGGCGCCGGCGGGGGGGAGCGATAGGCGACAGGCATGTCAGCACGCTGCCAGCCCTCCTGAGTCACCAGCGTACACCGCGAAGTGACCAGGAATCACAAACAGCGGGCAGTCATGTTCACAACACTTGTGTCAAGATACTACCTATATGCTGGTAGCATATTTTCACATCCAACCCAACCCATCCCGCCCGACTTGTTTGCAGGTTGTCGAACAGGCCTTTGCCTGTTTGACAGCCGGACATAGCCGCGCGCGAGTTTACAACGGGGACCGATCCGCTGCCTTACGAGCACGTCTTCAACCCGCTGACCGCCCCCCCCCCCCCCCCGCTACGCCCTTCTCGGGCCCGCACGGCGAACCTCACCTGCGGCCGGTCGCCGTCGGAGGGCAGCACCAGCACCTGGGCCGTCTCGCCGTTGATCTCGACCGTGCGCACGTCCAGCTCGGTGAGCAGCAGCTGGATGCGCTGCGGGCTGGCCGGGGCGGCCGCCGCCTCGGCGCCCTCCTGCGGCGCACAGGCGGGCGTCAGCGGGGCGCCGGCCGGCGAGCGGGCGGCCGTGCCGGACGCGGTGCCGGACGCTCGGGGAGCCGAGCCGGGCCCAGCCGGAGCGATTCAGGCGTTCGGAGCCGACCTAGCCAGCGGCTTACTGGCCTTGTGGCCATTCGAACGACACAGCGAATCGCCCAACAGCCGGGAAGCAGTGAATACATGTCTTGGCATGGGTCATGCCAGTGCTACAGATGAAGCCAAGAGGACCTGGGCACGGGAAAGACAGGTGCAGTCACAAGAATGGGGAAAGGAGAAAGGAGAACGGTGAAAGAGGTACATCCGCCTCCAACGCCTGACAGCGCCGCGGGGCCGGCGTCGGTCTCCGGTCGACAACATCAGCAGAAGACACCAGACGCACGGTTACAGCGTGTACAGCAATCGTGCATGAGTTGGATCATCGCGCGTTAGTGGCGCGAGAAAACGGATATTGGACGAAGAGTGAGAGACCTCAGCGGAGTCGTCCCTGCACGCTGCCCTTCCTTGCCGACAAAGAGGCAGAGCTTTTCCGGTGCCGCTTCAGCAAACCCACTGGCCAGACATTTCATGCGGTTCCACGTTTGCACGTGATGACACCAATTCGCATCCATTTCAAGGTGACGACACCCCTACGCACCGCAGCTAACATGGCCAAAAATGAGAAAGTTTTCAGATGACAGCATTGGGCGCGCTTCAACTAGCTGGGGACGTCACGCATGGCGCAAGACCTGCTCAACGACCAACACATCCCAGGCACCAGGCACGCGTCACGGTCCCTTCTCCAACGTTCAATGTCAAACAGTCGCGGCGCATGGCTGCACCCGACAGAGGTGCCCGAGTGCAGGGGGCGGATATCGCACCTTTTGCTCCTGAGAAGCCGGGTGCGGAGCGAGCCAGCTGTGCTCGCGCTCCCGGTGCGACTGGAACGTGCTCATGTTGCGGAAGTTCTTGCTGCACACGTCGCACACGATGAAGCTCTGTAGGTGCACCATCTGGTGCTTGTACATGGTGGAGTACTCCGTAAAGCTCTTGTCACAATCCTGCAATTGATGGATGCAGGGCATCAGAAAACAGCGCGCAACACATAAAAATGAAAGCCTCATAACCATGCTACTGCAAGCCCCAGTCACGTACTGCACCCAGCAGACTCCCCGGATGGTTAATTGGCCAGCTTAGGAAACTGGAGTCGATAATTCCCAGATGAGCTGTTGGGTTGAACGCACCGGTACATTTCCTGCTGTTTAACACGAGTCTCCCCCGGATGCAATCACAGCACTGCTACCGATGCGATGTACCGATGTACCGATGTTCTCCCCACCCGATGACATGTGCTTTGACCGAAGCCGCTGAGCTGACTGAACCGGCATATGTGACCGACCAAACCTACCACCAAACCCGGACGCACGACCGGTGAACTCGGTGGATTTGACCGACGTCACATTGGAACGTGAGGGGCCGAGCACAAATTTGCGTCTGTGTGTGTGTGGGGGGGGGGGGGGGACTATACAGCGAAACGGGGAAAAAGTCCCAGAAATCCTATAAAAATCCTGGGACTGTTGCACATACCGGATGCTTGCAGACAAATGGCTTCTCCCCAGTGTGCGTTCTCATGTGGTTCTTGTAGTTCGTCTGGGACGAGAACGCCTTCGAGCAGTTGTCAAATTCACACACGTAAGGTCTCTCACCTGCGTCGCACAGGGTGAAAGGCAACGTGTTCACAGATTAGATCAACAGACGACATGAAACCACACGGCGAGGGCGGGCCACACATCCCATCACCAGATCCCCGCAGAAACACAGCACAATCAGCACAAACAAGCACAGCAAAGTGACCTTTCGAAGACGACTGGCCGGACACACTCAAACTTAACGATGTTACGAACAGTCGTTCGTAACATCGTTAAGTTGTTCGTCCACGCAGCTCGCGACAAGGCACCGAGAAAGGGCGTCCTCCACTACGAACCCACCCGTGTGCGTCCTGACGTGGACCTTCCTGATGTCCAGCGTTGAGAACCTCTTGAAGCAGCCGCGGAAGCTGCAGGCGTACGGCTTGTCGCCTGGCGAGATCACGCGGGCCATCAACACCGAGAACTGTACGCAGGAGTTCTGCCCGTGGCAGACGAAGCGGACGCGATACGTCGAAGGAAAGCGACATGAGTCTCTTGATAACAGCTCGAATCGGGCTCGCGGAGCAAACTCGAGGGTTCCATAGAAAGGCAAAAAAGATACGACCCCTGGACTGTGCCACAGCATGCACTTACTGACAACCGTTCCTCACACTGGCAGTGAAGGTTGTGTGTCATTGGGGCTTTACGACGTACTCAGCTGCTGGGGCTATATGGCGTCGCCTGCCTCTCACCCTGGCAGGAAGGGCGGGCACCGCGGGGAATCGAACCCCGTACCTCTGGTTTCCCAGACGCGCAGTGGTTAACGCAGACGCGCAGACCACTACACTACCGGCACCCCGGCGGCGAAGCTTGGAAACAACAATGGAGCGGCCGATACGAGATTTACGTCCTGTAGCCATTAAGACCACTATACCATTGCATTTGGCAAAGATCGAACGCGAGCCACGACTTCTCCTGTCTCTTTCGCCAGCTACGTACAGAACTAACCTCGAGTTTCCAGCATCCCTGACATCCCGTGAGAAAAAACCGCCGGCCATATATACAAATCACCGACATCTTTTGGTGAATCACATTCCACGGTGTTTCAACATTAACAACGCAAGCACGTGTTTCAGTACACCTCACATCCCCTGTCAGCCAGCCGGTCGAGCTCGCCCCTCCCCCCCCCCCCCCTCCACTGACCTGTGTGAATGCGCGCATGCCGGCGCAGGTCACTCGACGTCTTGAAGGCCTTGGTGCAGCCCGCCACCGTGCAGCCGTAGGGCCGCTGTCCCGTGTGCGTGCGGCAGTGGGCCGACATGCTGTAGAAGCTGGTGAAGGTGCGGCCGCAGTCGGCCCACTGGCAGGCGTGCGGACGCTCGCCCGAGTGTACCATCGCGTGAGACTGCGGCAGCCGGCCGCCGGTCAGGGAGCGCATGGCAGCGGGCGGGCCGGTGAAGGACGAGCCCTTGCTGAATGTCTCCAACGCGCTCTTCGCGCTTCTTCTTAAGTACTCAAACAGAACTGAATTTGAACGCTAGAGTTACACATACATACACCGAAATTTACCCCATAAAGTGCTCTACACCAATGACACTAAAATAGACACTCAAAACATCCGTGACTTTTTAAATTTTTGTAGCTTTGCATGCATTTTCACCTCCGTAAGCCAAGCGTTACATTAACAGAGACGCAAGGCGTCGGAGGCCGCCGCCGGCCGCACTCTCAGCGGCGGGCCGGCGCGCGAGGCCCCCGTGCGTGGGACAGCCTCACCTTCAGCGAATGGTACGATAGGAACTTCTTGTCACAGCCTGCAAAATCACAGGAGTGGGACGTGCGCGCCGCCTTCTTCTCCTTGGTCCTTCGTTCCAGTGGCAGGTCCATCACGACACATGTAGTCGGCTGAGGCACCTCTCCAGCCACTTCTGGGTCATCTGAGGCCACAGCTGAGCATGAGTATTGTGTATTACAGGTGCTATGACTGTTATTCAGATGGCTCTGGTGGATGTCCTACCAACCAGGGGTGTACTTTCAATGAACCAGTTGGGGGACTAGGTGATCTACTTGACATGCTATCTAAGCTGTGCCCAAGCCATGCTGTTCTGCAGGCATGAATTTTTTTCATCCAAAGGAGTGACCAACTTCAAAACACCATCATACTGCCTTCCAGCAGCTTCACATGGTCTCCAACTGAGCACTGATGGACATCATCAATAACAAAAGACATGTCAAATACACATGTATGCTCACCTTGCTGCATGCTATCTTCTGTAAGCAGGCTGACATCACCCAGCTTCAAATCCTCAACAGTGCCATCACCATGGTCTGTATCTGAAAAAAATGAATGGAAAGATGTGTGAAACCACAACTTGAGGTGTTCACACAAAAGGCAAAGTGGGATGGCATCATCACTACTTGACTTAACAAGTGCCTTGATGGCCTGTTAAATGAAGCACTGCTGGGAGGGGATGGGGCGGGGGTGGGGGGGCAATTGGTCCTGATGTCTAAAAAACTAAGAGAGGTAAAGATACAAGGTTGATGAAATGCATAGAGTCAAATGCACACTCACTGTGTGTCATGTGAAATTTTGAGGCCCATTGGTCACAACTTTTGGGTCAAATGAGGCCAAACAAGGTCCAACTCCAGATAAGTGTGTGAAGTCACCTCAGACCTCCTTATGTGACCACCTTCAATCTAACCACCTCATCTATTTACTTCTTCATGGCAAAAGGTAACTGATATAACTCTCAGGTCAGTGACATCATTTGACCTTCAGAGGGTCACTGTGACCAAAACCTGCAAAATTGTTTTGATTTCTGAATTTCAATAAGTGCCAAGGATTACACTGGGAAGCATGTTCCTAAAATTCTACGCTAACCTATTCTGACTTTTATAAAGTTCAAACACATTTCTTCATCTCACTGTGATCCAAAAATTTTAAATAAGCCCACAGAAAAGTAGTCTACAGCTGCAACCCTACTCATGTAATTCTCAAATAAAAGTCTCAAAGATGTGCAGCTTCATCTAACACCATGATGTCATACCACATTGGATAATTCTCAAGAAATGGCCGCTGCTAATAGCCATAGCCTGACTCTGACTAGCCAAAGCTCAGTGACCTTACAAGCTAAAGGACATTTGTTTAATGCTGAAGGATGAACTGGATAAGCTGGAGCAGTGTGAAATAACCCTATAGCTTTAATTATCACACATAGCTGCTCAGGCCATCTGCATCCCAAATATCTTCTTTTCTAACAAATCAGATTTATTATCTTTAAATTTTTACAACCTTATACTGGTTAAAAAACATACAGCTTAACCAGCCATGAGAGCAATGCTGTTGTAATAAAAAACTTACCTGATGCAGATGGCTGACAGAGTTCAACAAGCTTATGGGATTTATTATATTTTTTCCCAATATTTGTGGTTTTCTTCATGTTTCCTATAAATGCATAGTGGAATGCTTATCCATCACAGTCACAGATTACAAATGACTAACTACCAAAAAAGCTCTACAGATACATCTAAAATGAAAACACCATTTGCACTGAATTAGAAGAAACATTTGGACCAGAAGTCATCATCACACCAAGTGTTTATAAATGCCAGATCATACATAAATGTCACAATGTCTTCTCAAGAGAGACATTGAGCTTTTTTGGGGTGAAAATGATACTTTAAACTGGGATGAACAAACCATAAAGAAAATAAAAAAAACACTGAGAATGTTGCTAAAATGACTTCTGTAATTTAGCATGTCATCTCATTAAAGTTGTAATCATTAAGTTATAGTTGTTAGGGATGCAGGCAAATTGTACAAAACACAAAAAAAAAACACTTTGGGTGTGACAAATGCCCTGTATGTTCAACTTTTAACATGCAAGTCACAAGGTCACACCCACTATTTGCTGCAAATTTTCAGAACAGTACCAAGGTGCATAGTTTCAAAATTACTATTTACTAGGCAACTACAAGTCATGGAACACCAGTGGCATATGGAACTAGTGGAATCATTGAAAACTTGGTCAAACATTGATCAGATAAACATCAATCAAAAAGAGTGATAGAATTCCATCTCATAAAAGCCCCTGTGAAATTAAATAGTGATTGCAGTCCTGTGGACAGAATATAGGAGCTTGTTTGAAATTACGTTCATAACAACATTGACCCCATTAATTTTCCCCACACAAGCAAAGGCTAATAACTGCAAATGAACTAGTTCATTACCGTGCGCTGATGCCAATTACTTGTTTACCAAGCAAAATATCTGTCCGCCGCAAATTCAAGACAGCTGTATTCCCAAGAGCTTGCAACGACCTTATGCCTGCTTTTAGCTCATAGGCCAAGAAAGCATAGTGCCTCAAGCAGATACTCATGGGTACCCCAAAACACCCCTTAATTTCCACACCATTGTTCGTAGGCCTAATAGCCACTACTTACCACCCGCTGACTTCAGAACTAGAGCAATCGCTCCCCGTCCCCCTGACCAGCGGAGAGCACAACTATCAAATAGCCGCATGCGGCACATACGTCACCACACGGTGTGCTATAAGTTACAAAAATGACAAAAAAGTTTCAGATAATAGTCTAGCACCAAAATGTGTCAAACGTAGAGCAAACGAGAAAAAATAATGCTTTTTTAAAGATTGGAACAAAATACGTTATATCATTTCGTCAAAAAATGTTTCATTTTCTTGTTTTGACGGCAAGAAACGTGGATCATACATAGGAGCGCTGTTTGTGGACTGAGAATGCACGGCCAGAGGTTTCATATACCAAAAAACAAGTTTTGAATACATTTTTTCGCTGTAAAAACACAATATTTGAACCTTAAATGTGCAAAAGAAACTAATTTTTTATGAAAAAAACCAGCTGTGTTCTAATCAAAGTACGAAAAAGATTGAATGGTAAGTTTGAGAAATGTTGCAGTCTTTTATCATGAACTGTTTCGTCTTACTGGCGGAAAATACATATGTGGTTCTGAATACAAAAGCTACACCGCGACTACCTGGGATCGAGAGACAGATTCGTTTGTTCGCGGCGCTGCGCGTGCGATTCCGGGGGGCTAAACATTGTATTTTGTGATAGATTTTGATACTCGCTCTTGTTTTTTTGAAAACAAGGTTTCGGAGTGTACTGCGATAACAAAGGTAGAAGGCTGTCTTCGGCATCTGTTCCTGTACCCCCCATTTTAGGAGTTGAAGGTAATTCTTTGTTGTGGTTTATTTGTGAGTAATTGCCCATGCCCTGATAGTGTAGTAAGGGAGAAAGTCGTGAAGATAGAGGTGCCTGCATTGCATTGCTGGAGGAATTATCAATGTTATCAACTATCAATGAACCAACAATATCAATGAATTATCAATTATGACCGGGGTGCGAACACAGTGACAATTTCTAGGTCAACCGGCGAAATTAGCCATCCCTTGCACCATACTCTTATGTGGCATCAGTGTGCTGTACCTGGAGCATGTATGCGCTTGTTCCAGGGTGGGGAATTTACAATGGATGTTCAGGTTTTTATTTTTATGAATGTGGCAATACATTTTTACCAAATAATGCCTGAATTTTTCTAAATCTCATGCATTATTGGCTTTCAATGACTGGAGTTGGTGGCAAACCTTCTTTGAACACAGGGATTTCTGTTAGATTGGTGCATTTGCTGGCATTGTTGCCAAGATGCTGTTGTGTTGCTGGACATGTTTGCTGCCACACTTATTTTTGTAGCCTGGCCAGCTGTTAAATATAGGCTTTAGAGGAAGATGATCAAGTGTTTTAAATGGATAGTTGGGTTCTTATGGTTTTGCTAACTGCTGAGGCATTTCAGCAATAGTTATTTTGTGCTGGAGGTCTGGCATTGTTAACATAATTTTATCAAAACTGATATGGTCTGGAATCTGGCTTGTATGTATAGAAGCCATGGTGAGTAGGTGCATATAAGGAACATTTCTAGTATAGTCTGAGGTCTGGCTTATATGTATATAAACCACTGTAAGTAGGTCCATGCAGTACATTTCCCACAAAACCAATGCAAATGCCTGTGATGTGCCTTATTAGTAAAATGAACAAATTTTGCCTAATAAAATAATAAAAAGCCCAATGACCTAATTTTGGGATTGGTAAGTTGAGGTAATCATACCTGTCAATATCACAGAAATAATTTTAATACTGTACACCAACATAGCTTTTTCCTCTAGGAAGAAGCAGAATGGTGCAAGTGAAATCATGTTTCTCTTCTATACTGGAGGCCCAAGCTTCCTTCTTAGCAAGCACTGTGGCCTCTGGCTGATAGCTTGACAGTTGTAATCACCATTGCTGCATAAAGGACTGATTGACAATGAGTGCCATGCCACCTTTAAAATAGAACAAAGTCTGTTCAAGCACAGCATTTTATTATTTAACACTAACATATTTGTCACATTATTGGTCGTGGTATTCCTTATGCTGATGTGTTGAAAATCATGGAATATCATTAATTCTCAATGACTAGAATAATCTATGTGATATTATTTATCAAGTGGTCTTGACTACATCACTGTTTGAATGATACTGCACTATATTGCCATGCTAGATATACATAGCCAAATACACGCCATAAGTTTTATCATAAACCACCTTACACATAACACCATTCTCAGTGACTTGAAGACATTTGATGAAAGTATGTTTCCATTAGTTTTTTATTTAATTGCCCTCTTACATTCAAGCAATATTATTTCACCATGCAGTCTTTGAGCTGAAATTGCAATTAACTAGAAGTGAAGCTGAATAGAAAGGTCAGCTCAGTTGCAGTGCTGCAGAAGCCATGTTGTGAAGGGATCTTTCCATTTTTGACATTTCATTTAGATGTCTTAGGTAGTCTTGAACCATATTTTTTTGGAGGGAAGCCTCCACCCAGACACTTTGATTCAATGATAACACTGGAATTGTATATGAATGAACTTATCTATCACCAGACACTTTGATTCAATAGTAAATTTGAGAACTCTGTGGGAAGGAGCTTATCTACCAGCAACATGTCACAGCCCATTTCATTCCCAACCACACCACACCCCTTGTTTCAGCACTGCCTTCTTGTGCGAATCGCCGACCATGTACAAGTTCCGGGCCGCCCTAGTGGGCCACAGCTCCGATGTGCGGGCCGTAGCTGCCGGCATTTGCCCCCAGGGTAGCGTCATCACGTGCTCGCGTGACGAAACGGCGCGCATCTGGACACCCAACAGGTCAGTGCGCTGTGCTGGGATGCTGCATGTTCATGGCCGTGACGAGGCGGCCGTACAAAACTGGAATGAAGGAGGAGGATAGTACTGTGTGCTAGTCGGTGGTCTGTGCTTTACAAGATCGGGCGTAACAATGCACAATCAGAGAGTTAAATTATTACTTGTATACTATAAACATGAGGTGGATGATGATTATAATGTGTGTATGAAGACGTTCAGTGGGCACAGAGTGTACATCATACAGCAGGATGTTGGTGGTGATCATATGTATGTGGAGGCATGGAATAGACATCGTCGCCATTGGGGCTTTACGACACACTCAGCTGCTGAGGCTACACGGCCTCACCTGCCTCTCACCCTGGCAGGATCGGCTGGCACTGTGAGGAATCGAACCCGGCACCTCTGGTTTCCCAGACGTGCATTGCTAAACTCAGACGCGTTAACCACGGCACTGCCAGCACCCATAGACACCCATGTCATGCAGAAGGGTATTGGGGATAGGAAGGGGAGTCATAACAGCCCCACACCTCTGTTGATGTATGCACTGTGATGGGTTCAGTAGCACGTGGCCTCACTGTATCCGTGCCCCGGCAGCGGCGATGTCGGCTTCGCGACGGCGCAGACGCTGCGCGGCCACAGCCGGTACGTGGTAGCGGCGTGTGTGATGCCGCCCTGCGACGAGTACCCGGACGGCCTCATCCTCACCGGCAGCAACGACGCCAACATCCACGTGTACTCGCACAAGAGCAGCGAGCCGCTGTACCGGCTCACGGGGCACACGGCCACCGGTGAGGAGGCGGAGGAGGGACGGGCCGCGGGGGACGGGGGGTCGACATTAGCTGGTGGTGCGGGTAAAGCTGTGGGAGAGACGGCTGCGAGGTACGCGGTGTCGACAGCAGCTGACGATGGGGTGGAGCTTTGGGAGGGACATGCGGCCAGGACTGGAACACAGGCGCACAGGACACCAAAAAGTTGAAGTGGGGACGAGAGGCCGGGAAAACTGTTGCATGTTTTCATGAAGAAGCATAACTTCATCTGAACAATGCCAAGTTTTAGTGTCAGTCGGGTGGGAAGAGGAGGAGGCGCCTCCATCCACGTGCTTACGGTCCGCAGGGGACTATGAAGAAACGCCATAATAGTACGTTCCTACTCCATCACTCTTCCCACAATTCTTATTGCCAAACAAAGCTGGGACTAATGAAACAGAATATCTGTTCAGGCACATTGGTTTGTTGTCAGATATGCACAGGAATCCAGGAAGCCAGAGGGACGGGGTTCGGTTCCCTGCGGTGCCCTCCCTTTCTACCAGGCTGACAGGCAGGCGACGCCATATAGCCTCAGCAGCCGATTGCGTCATAAAGCCCCGCCAGGTTGATGCGATCGTCACAAAGCCCGTCCCTCCCATGTCTGCTGACGACCTGCTGGGCTCTCTGACTCTGATCTGTGACCAGCCCTCTGACCTCTGACCGGCTCTCTGACCTCTGACCCTCTGACCCTCCCCCGCCCCTCGCTCTTCGCCTCTCCAGTGGCAGCGCTGGCGGCCGGCAAGTTCGGCACGATCGTCAGCGGCTCGTGGGACTGCAGCGCGCGCGTCTGGCTGGGTCAGAAGTGCGTGCTGACGCTGAGCGCGCACAGCGCCGCCGTCTGGGCTGTGGCCATCCTGCCCGGCTCGGGGCTGGTCATCACCGGCTCGGCCGACAAGACCATCCTCGCCTGGAAGACCGGCAAGGTCGTGCAGAAGTTCACTGGTGGGTGGCCGGCGGCAGCGGCCGCGGGATGTGGTGGGCCCGGGGGACGATGGGCGGGCAGAATGGTGTTCGCTTAAGGTTTGTCTGTTTTATGTTTTGTGGCATTTTCTACGATGCATTATATTGGAAAAACAGCCTTACGCGTCTCTGAAGTTGAGCATCGTCTCTAGTTTCACGGCGTGTAGCGAAGCCGCTGTTTTTCATCCATTCTTCGAAGTCAGCTGGTGAATTATATCGATCGGAGGCATGCGGTGTTGGGTGAAGGGAGCGGCGGTTGATCTCTGACCCGACGCCAGGGCACACGGACTGCGTGCGCGGCCTGGCCCTGCTCTCCGAGGATGAGTTCCTCTCGTGCGGCAACGACGCCACCATCCGACACTGGAATATAGACGGCAACTGCATCCACACCTTCTACGGCCATTCCAACTTTGTCTACAGGTGTGGCAGCCTTTAGCACTTGTGCTCTGCGAGATGGCTGGCACTTTTAGGTCCATTCCAGCCGAAACATACGCTGGCGATTTGAGGAGATCTTTGAAGTGCTACCTGTGGTGTAATACCCGTTTTTGTGTGACAGACGTGGACACTACTCCCATGTCATCCGCTTGTTTTCGATTCTGTGCGGGCTTTGCACCAGTTGCGTTTAATGGCCTGACACCTCGTGCCGATCGCGTCCCGGGCGGGCCCCCCCTGCGTCTATCCGCCGGCTTATCTCGCTCCCCGTCGGCTCCACGGACCATGCCCCTCACCACCGACCGCGGCCTCCACTCGCCGCCCTGCCTGCCTGTCTGGCGCCGGCGCCCTCGCCCTCTCACCACGCACGGGGCTCGCCGCAGCGTGGCCGTGCTGCCGAACGGCGTGGACCTGGTGTCGGCCGGCGAGGACCGCACGGTGCGAGTCTGGCGGCGCGGCGAGCTGGCGCAGACCATCAACGTGCCCGCCCAGTCGGTGTGGGCCGTGGCCTGCCTGCAGAACGGCGACATCGCCGCCGGCTCCAGGTCAGCGGTCGGCGCCGGCGAGGAGCCGCCGAGCAAGGCGCTGGGGACCGGCGGCTGGCGGTGCTGGCTGGTCGGACGCGCTGGCTGTGGCGTGGTTGGGCTAGTCGTGGTGTGGTTGTTGTGACAATGATTGGGATAGTGTTTTTCTGGCGATGATAGGGAGAATGCAGACATAGGTCTCGGCTAGAAGCGCTGTCGAGTGCCGACCGCATTGCGGGCTTAGGCACTGTTGGGTATTAACGCTCGGTACGCATCACGTGGTCCCATATGCCGGGGACGGTATACCCTATCCCAGCGGAGATCCTCCGGGCTTCTGTGGACGACAGACAGGACAAGCCGATGCCGCCTGCCGGGCCCGTCACCCGCAGTTACCGCAGCCCCGCGCCTCAGCTGACGGGCGACGGCCGTCTCACCGGGCTGCGCCGCGTCACGCCGCCTCGCATGCAGCCCGCCAGCGCCGACCGCTCTGACGGCGGCCGTGTTTCAGCGATGGCGTGTGTCGGGTGTTCAGCGCGGCTCCCGAGCGGCAGGCGCCGCCCGACGGCCAGCACGCCTACGAACAGGAGGTGGCCAGCACGCAGATGAGCAAGGCCGACCTGGGCGGCTACAAGGTGCGGCCGCGCCCGCTGACGCCCGCTCGTCGCGCGCCGCCGCGGGTCGGGGCTCTGGCTCGCGACGGCGCGCGGTAGTCTCTGCCGTGGCGTGTCTCTCGTGCGTGTTGCCTGGTCCTCGCCCGGGACGCGCCAGTATGCTGGCGCTGGGTGACCTCTAGCAAATAGTCTGTCCGCTCGGCGCCCGTGTCGTCCCACAGTGGCCGGCCGGCGCGCATCTGCTCTGTCTCAGCGGTGGCATGTCGTGGCCGGGGTGTCGCGTCAGTACCGCCCGCCCGTCGGCGGTCCCGTGACGCGCCTGCACCGTCGCCCAGCGGCGCCGGCGGCCGGCGCTGAGCCTCCGCCCGCCGCCGCCAGGTGTCGGACCTGCCGGGCGCCGAGGTGCTGCTGGCGCCCGGCCGCCGCGACGGCCAGACGGTGATGGTGCGCGAGGCGTCCGGCGACGTCACCTGCCACAGCTGGTCGGCCGCCGAGCAGCAGTGGAAGAAGGTCGGCGACGTGGTGGGCGCGTCCGGCGGCTCCACCGAGACCTCCGGCAAGGTGCTACACGACGGCAAGGTGAGCGCTGGACGCCTACGGAGCGGCCGGCTGCGGCGCAGGCGGAGAGTCGGCTCTGGGTTCTGGCTCTGGCCTCTGGCCTCTGGGCTCTGGGCTCTGGGCTCTGGGCTCTGGGCTCTGGGCTCTGGCCTCTGGCCTCTGGCCTCTGGCCTCTGGCCTCTGGCCTCTGGCCTCTGGCCTCTGGGCTCTGGGCTCTGGGCTCTGGCTCTGGCTCTGGCTCTGGCTCTGGCTCTGGCTCTGGCCTCTGGACTCTGGCCTCTGGCTGAGAGGGGGCCGAAGCTCTGGGTTGCGACGAGGGAGACGCGAGCACGGCTTGATGGTACAGTTATCTGTGCCGGATCCAAATGACGCTAGCCTTCTAGTCATAAATACTTGCCTTTGTTATGTGGTGAGAGTTAGAAGGATTGCTCCAAGTTTTGAAACGTTTTGGCCGTAAGATGACAGTAGTCATTCTGCTCTTTGCTTCAGTCTTCTTCTCGGTACATGTCCTGCAGTTCTAAATGCTATCATGTTTAGTGCGAATACTTGGTGGTAAGGTGGTGGTCTCAAGAACCAATGAAAACCTAAGCATTATGTACGATCCGACCGCAGTATCAAATAGCTAGTCGTAGGATTCCAAACGATGGGATCAAAATAAGCGTAGTTAAAAACTGACCACAGAGTCAAGAAGCTGGTTGCCTGACTCCAAACACCTGAGCCCATCCCAGCCTGACAAACATGCTCGCAACATGATAAGTATCATACGCAAATTATGGTCAGTGCATCACGAGAAAATGTCGTTCCACCCATCATTTTTAGCTATCGGAACGTCGTATCGAACCGATGTTACGGAGCTTCACCAGTGCGTAAGATGATGCATCTCGGGTACCTGACTTTAGAGCTGGCGTGTGCGAATAACATATTTACGACAGAGTCGCCACCATGCCTCAAGGGATGTACGGGCCCCGGTTTTGCCTCGCCTGGAGTTCGAGCCCGCCGTTCGTGCCGACAGGAATACGACTACGTGTTCACGGTGGACATCCAGGAGGGCGCGCCGCCGCTGAAGCTGCCCTACAACACGTCCGAGGATCCGTGGCAGGCGGCGCAGCGCTTTATCCACAAGCACGACCTCAGCCAGGCGTTCCTCGACCAGGTGGCCAACTTCATTATCAAGAACAGCGGCGGCGCCGGTGTGGCCGCCGCGCCCGCCCCCTCCGCCGACTACTATGACCCATTCACCGGTAAGTCGCCTAGTGACGAGCCGATCATCCTACAGTGGGATGTGCGTGCCACGTCTTGGAGAGGAGGACATGGCAATGCTGACACTGAGAAGCCAACGCGGTCGGCATGTGACAAGTGACGTCACAGCCGGGAGCCTTGCGTTATGACGAGTGCACTGTGGCGGGCAGCCTCCCCTCTTCAGGCCGCCCCGATCACGTGTCTCACTCGCACCCCGGCGTGCAGGGACCGGCCGGTACGTGCCGGGAGCGGCGGCCGGCGGCGCGGCGGCGGGCGGCGGCGCCGACCCGTTCACGGGCGGCGGCCGGTACGTGCCGCCGGCGGCGATGGACACCAGCAGCGGCCCAGCGGCGCCCGCGCCCACCACGCCCGCCGCGCCGCGCTACTTCCCGCAGGACGAGTTCCTCTACTTCGACAAGGGCAACGTGGACGGCATGGCCAGTGAGTGTTTGTGTAGTGGGGGGGGGGGGGGGGGGGGGACGGGCACCGCATACGCGACGGAGGTCTGGCAGGTGCGGGGGCTGGGGTCGGAGAAGGCACCGGGAGCGCGTTGCTGGGGTATGGGGAGAGGTAGACCTGTGGTACCGTTCATGATGGTGATCAGTTGTGTGACTGCAATGACGATACGACTGCGGCAGTCGTGCGCATAATTACAATACTTTTTTAATTTTTGGTCGCGATTGGTGTCAGTTGCGGCTTGTAATCCCCACGCGCGTTTGTTGGCCTGCCCCTCGCTTCCCATTGTTCCCTTTACCAGTGTGTTGACGAGGATCGACAGCGGCCGCCAGTGCGCACGGCAGCCCATTCTAACGGTCCGACGCGCCGCCCGCCACAGCCAAACTGCGCGAGTTCAACCAGCGGACGGGCGACGGCAGTCACCGGCTGGAGGAGGCGGTGCTGCTGGAGCTGACCAAGCTGGCCGAGCCGGCGGAGACGCCGTCGCCCAACCACCTGGCCACCCTGCTCCGGCTGCTCGACTGGCCCAAGGGTGAGCTGGTGCCGGCCGGGTGCCGGACAGGTGGCGAGCAGGCCCCGGCTGGGGCGGCTGACGGGATTTGAGGAGGGTGGTGTTGGGTGGCTGTGCCAGGGGTCTAGTGGTCTTGTTCAGGCGCCGCGCCACACGCACAGAGCGATTTGTGAGCAGCACAGTGGTTGTCATCGCCACAACTCGTGGGCAGATTTCGCGTGCCGCATGATACCGAGCATAACTCGGGCGGGGTGCCGGACGCGCGTTCTTTTCGCGACGTGCGTCTCCGCGCCACCTTTCCCGCTGTCTGATCACGCTCGCGCATGGCCGCCACCCACTGACGCCGCCCGCTCCCCGCCGCCAGAGCTGGCCTTCCCGGCTATCGACCTGCTGCGGCTGGCGCTGAGGAACGCCGCCACCTGCGAGTTCTTCTGCTCGCCCGAGCGGCGGCCGGCGCTGCTCGCCGCCCTGGAGCGCTTCGCCCAGCCGGACTCGCCGCCGGCCAACCAGATGCTGGCGCTGCGGGCGTGCTGCAACCTGTTCCGGCACGCGGACGGCGAGCGGACGGTGCTGGAGGCGCGCGAGACGGTGACGGCGGCGGCGCTGGCGCTGCTGCCGGGCGTCAGCCGCGCCGTGGAGGTGGCGCTCGCCACCCTGCTGCTCAACATGGCCACGAGCCTGCGGCGGCGCGGCGAGCTGGAGGCGCGCGCGCAGACGCTTTCGGCGCTGGGCGTGCTGCTGCAGCGGCTGACGGACGGCGAGGCGCTGTTCCGCGCGCTGGTCGGCTTCGGCACGCTGGCGGTGGCGGCGCCGGAGCTGGCGGCGCTGGCGCGCAGCCTCGAGGTGGACGCCGTGCTGGCGCGGCTCCGCAACGTGCCAGAGCCGGCCAAGGTGGCCGCCTGCGCCGGCCAGCTCGATCAGCTGGTGCGCAACAGCTGAGCCGGCGCGTGCGCGCTGGGCGCGGACTGTGGGTGGCCGCGGCGGCGGTCGGAGGGCGTCGATGTCCCGACCAGTGTTCAGTCGGTGTCTCGTGATCCGGGTTTGGCGACGACACACGATCCGCAGACGTACCTCCTGTGTAACCAGAGCGAGCGCTACCGCTGAACGCGCGCGCGCCGCCGACGTCGTGCTGGGCACGTACTCTATGTCGGCCGGTGGATTTCTTTGAGGATGAAGCCGGTTCAGTCATGCCGAGGGAGTCATTGCTCTTCGAGTGTTTATTTCGGTTATCTGTTGTTTCCTGAGTCGTATTTAAATAATACAAGTTTATAAAATACGACCCAGAGCCCACGCTACTTGGTGTGGCTGCTATTGCTATTCTAGCCGCGCCTGCCGAGCAGACGCAGCACTACAACAAGGAAGAAGTCACCGACAGGCGGCACATCGACGGGGTAAGTAATATCACACAGTCTCCAGCCCGTGTGGAATGTGGTGCGCTGCCGCCGTTTACTGGGTGTGGGTGCTAAGCGCGCGCGCGCCGCGAGCGGCCACGTCTGGAGCGGCGGCCGGTCCCGCGAGCCGGGCCGGCACGACTCGCGCTCGGCTCACTCGTCCGTTACACATCGACCGGGTGCTAGTACACTCTTAACTTAACGCAAACAAACCCAAACTGACGCGGCAGGAACCTGGAATCCGTAGTCTCCTATGACGTAAGCAATACCTGGAGCAGCCGCACGATAAGCAGATGAGCGACACGAACCAGACGCCCTCACGCATATTACGCGCATCTAAACATCCACACTAGAACGGTTATCTTGGAAGACCACATAGAAAATCACAGCTTTCACCTTTATCAACCCCTATTACCTTATACATACTGGCGTGTTATCTGCCGATGCGTCGCACCCAGCTCCTAGAAAACATTCACGGCCTTTTCACTGCCAAGAAGATTCGAATTGATATACGGCAATTGCACCACATACATGCGATTGATCACCATGCCGCCGCAACGGCTATGGCACAAACCCGCGCACGATAGCCCCATTTTGGCGTGTTCTTACCTCTTCCATGCAACTACCAATTGAGGAACACATCTTGCGGGACCTGATTCACCGCTCCTACGCGTATCCGGTCGTACGGCAGCCAGGGACAATACTAGACGCACGGCATACTGAAGCAAACCGTCGCTGCTACAACGATCGGTCCACTATGTGATCCCGTGGCAGCGCTACAGCGCTCTACGAGCCAGCCTGCCGCCGATCCACGAACGCCAACACCAGCTACTACCGCTCACCAACGCCACCTATAACCGCCCACTAGCGCCACCTACCGCTACGCGACGATCCCACCACTACATCCCTGCGTGAGCCGTTGATCCCAGCGATTGCATCGTCTCGCCTCTCCGCGCGCCCGGCTCCGTCTCCGCCCGGGCCAGCCTCAGCTCCAGGGCCGCCTACTGCAGCGCCACGGCCAGCGCCTTGCGCACGTGCGGCCAGATCTTGTTGGTCTCCGTGCCGGAGAACTCCCGCAGCAGCCCGAGCTCGCGGTAGAACTCGATGACGGGCCCGGCCGACGCCTGGTACACCTCCAGCCGCTTGCGCACCGCGTCCGGCGCGTCGTCCGGCCGCTGCACGAGCCGCTCCCCAGTGACGTCATCGGTGAACTGGCGGCAGCGGCGGCGGCGGCGTGAGCGGCGAGCACGGCCGGTCCAGGGGGAGCGCGGGGCGGCGCGGGCCGGGTCCGCAGACACAGATTCGCCGCTGCGGACTCAGCGGGCGTTCACACACACAAACACGGGCACAAGCCCGTGGGTACACGAACAGACCACAGGTGGCACAGTAACATGTCGGAAGTAACGGACGGAACTGCCGGTCAGCGACCGTCCGAAACATAGCGAGTCGGAGCACTAGCCACGTACCAACGCTAGGACAATTTTTTACCTTATCATGTGCCCTGAAACGCACCAGCCAAGCCGAATAAGTCAAGATGCAGACGTGTCCTTTTCCTGTGCACTAGGCATGCTCACACTGACCAACCGTGTTTTTTTATTTGGACATGACCAGGGATGGGCGCATATATGCTTTTTGAAGCGTCACGAAACATGGCTTAACATGTATTTTTACCAGCATGACCCCCCAGCTAACAACTAGCCATTCTAACATATACAGACAACCTCCCATCTGGGAAATCTTCAAATATCTGCCAAATGCCCCTGAAGGCTTAAGGACCTTCTGACCCCGCTACAGTCCGCCTCATTAGCCATCATTGGGTACCACAGTCCAGCCAGGAAGCAGCCGTCCGCCGCATCATTCGTCTACACCACTTCCATCGCTTGGACGTTGTAAGTGGTGTCAGGAATGTTATCACTGATAAAAGTGCACTAAATATAATTATCTGACATGTGGGGTACTCGGACCAGGTTGCCGGGTTCAAGATGTACTTTCGTGGCCCAGCAACCATAATGATGCGACCAGCCACCTCTTTCGAGGCACATAATTTTGCATCTGTATAAAAGGAGACAAAACTCATTTCACTACATAAACCAGGAGGGCATGCAGCATGCACACAAATGTTATAAACTAACATCGCCACCAACCATTTAAAAAAAATTAAAAGGCTAATTCTGTTTGCATTTTCTGATCATAGGGTTTTCTTGCTTCGTCAACAAAGTATTAACGTCCCATTGCCGCACCACAGACGCCACACACTGTCAGTATTCTCAGGCACATGATGACTGCTACCTCGATAAGGTCCAGGTCTAAACAAAAATCACTGAACTTCGCACTCAATGAAAAGGGCACTCGGACACGAAGCGCAATCCAATGCAACCAAATACCATGAAGCGTCCTGCCGGCAAATCGTTTCGGTCTTCGTTCCCTTCCAAATGACCGAACTCGGATGGGGACGGCGTCCTGCCGGTCCGAGGACAACCGTCCACCACACAGTGAGGCAGCTGCTCCTCATGGGGAACAGGGCAAGCTGGCGTGCCTCTACTCGCGTTGATGTGCGGAAGATATCATCAGTGCTTGGCTATATTTCAGATTGGACGGTCTCCCAATTAGCCGCAGCAACGCCTTTGTACCAAGCCGTGAGATCGGTATGGATTGGTGTTTTTATGTTTGAGAATATATGATAGTATAGAGCAGGAATCTTGCTTTTAGTCCAACAATACAAGCACAAAAGTTTCCTAGACAGTAAAGCTTGCAGCGACGTCCCACTGAACACAAATAGAGCTCATAGTTGCAAAGAACATCAACATGCATTGATTCATTGAGGGCAGGTTACCTACCTTGTGTCTGTGTTGTGTGACAAATTAACTTATATTCAGTACCATCGCCAACCGAGAGCAAAGGAAAGAAAACAAGAAAAAACAAATAAAAACTCCTCAGCGACCACCTTACAACCACAGTATTCTGCCAAGAACCCTTTTCGAACGCATTCGCCGGCATTGACAAGTGGAGAAAAGACGATTGCGCCACCGACCATCTCCTCCCTCCGCTATCCCAGCAAGAACACCGCGCATCGGCACAACAGCAGGCGGACCCTGCCATCCACCCTCCTTCAGCCCGCCCGTCCCCGACTGACCGGCTGCTTCGGCGGCTCGAACAGCGTGTTGTAGATCCTGCCGCTGGGCAGGTGCACCCAGCGGTCCTTGATGCGGTCAATGATGACCTGGAACGGCACGTTGAGGCTGATGACCGTGTCCAGCGGCTGGACACGGTGCAGCGACTCCGCCTGTGAGCGTGTGCGCGGGAACCCTGCCGGACAGCGTCCACAGTCACAGGCCGGCGGCGGCTGCCGGCACCGCACGGCCGACCACGAGACGGCGTCGATGGCACGAGACCACGCGCCGAAATCGGCGGGTGCTACGATCGTGTACGCTGGAAAGTGATCAGATGTACCGCAAGAGGTCGCTTTCAGTCAACGAGACGCGGGCCGCAGGAGATTTCAGCAGCTGCCAGTCAGCGTGTCAGTAGACGTTTCCTTACAGCTCTAGAGACAAAACAAAACCCGGCACACCCCACGCACTTATTCGCGACAGCCTACTCCCAGGCCATGCCACCACGCTGGCTTCACTGCCGCTTTCAAACTGCTTTTGAACAATGTTTGAGTTTCAGAGTGAACACGCAAGCGTAGCACACGCGCTACGCAGTTCACCGTGGTCGCCTACCATCAAGCAGCCAGCTGCTGTCGGACATTTTCTTCAGCTCGTCGGAGATGAGCGAGACCATGGTCTCGTCCGGCACCAGGGAGCCCTCGTCAATGAACTTCTGCGCCTGCAGGCCCACTTCTGTGGACCGGCGACGGGCACGGGTCAAGCGGTGATGCGCAGCGGCTGGCGTCTGGAGAACTAAAGAGAGGTGTCTCTCCCGCGTATGGTGTCACCCGTGCTAGAACACCCGAGGTTAGATGTGGTTAGACTACAGCAGTTGGCAGGTCACAAGAAGCACGAGCATACAGTAACCGGCTGAACAGGCCGAAGATTAACTGCTATCTGGCTGTCTTGTGTGATAATGTAGCAAGGATGATGACAGAGTGGAAAGCTGAGAATGTGTGCATAGCTTAATAAATATCTAAGATCCATAAATGCGAAAAACAGAAAACTTTGTCAGCGTGGATCATCTACGAACGCACAACTTGACTCTCCCCTTTTGATAGATGGTTGTCAACGCTGTCGTTTTCAGCAATATATCAACATCTTCCTGTTGCAGACAAGCAGCCATGCGTCACCTGAGTACACGACACCCAGCAGCGGCCAGCGGGGGCGCCTGGCACCCAGCGCGGCCGGCCACACCCACCGGTCTTGTGGAGGACCTGCGAGCGCAACAGGTCGCCGCTGGAGAGGTGCTTCAGCCCGAACTCGGCCACGATCCGCTCCGAGATGGTGCCCTTGCCAGAGCCGGGTGCGCCCATGATCAGCGCCCGGAACAAGCGGCGGCCGGCCATGCCTGGCCGACAGCCACACGGGCAGTGAGCACGGCGACACGGCAGGGCCATTCAACATGCCACCCAATGGGATGTTTGGTTATGAAGGAGTGCATGCTCTATGCAAAAACAGCTGTGTAGTGAAAGATTGTAGTGGTTGCCAGACTGGCCTACTTCTACAGATACTCAGACATCAAGATATTTGCTATAAGTATAG